TTATTAGTGTATGTATAGCATTTCTATGCTAGCAATTAAGTCTTATGAGTTATTAAAGAAGTTTCATCCTAAGGGCTATAGGATAATAAAATAATATTTTAAATATAAGAAATTAAAGTATCAAATACAATTTCAGAAAGGCACAGGAGCGAGCGTGACCAGCCTGATTTCCCAGCTAGCTAGGCGCGTGCCTGCTACCACAGTGCTACCTACATACACAAAACCACACGCGGCGTTCATCCGCCAGTCAACACTGGTTGAGCATCTGTTCTGTACCAGGCTCCGCACCAGGTGCTGGGTATACACAGCTAAAAAAATAAAAATCCTCTCTTCAGTCAAGAAGCTCAGCATCTAGTGTGATGGACGGAATGGAAAATGTTAAACCAAGTGAAACATGGCCAAGCGCTACTGTCTAGATAGAAACCAAAACCCTGCAGGGAGTGGATACCTCTGCCTGGAAGATCAGGAAGATCTCCCCAGTGGGGACAGGGGAACGAGTTCTGAAGGGGTAAAGGACCTACCAGGTGGAGGAGGAGGGGGGAGGGCTAGTCTAGGCAAGGAGAGCCTCAAAGGAGGAACACGAAGGAGACATAGGAAGTAACTAGAAAATCTGGCGAGGGGCCAAATAGGCCTATAGATTTGGCGTTCAGAAAGTTTAATAAAAAATAGGTTACACTGGATTGAGACATGAGTAATAGTTAGGGTGTGGGGGAAGAGTGGAAGAAAGAGGAAGACCTGGGCGGATGGGCTGTTGGCGAAGCATGGCGTTGTCCTGGACACTTTCCAGAGTATCTAGAAAATTCTATCAGGACTGGGGGCTCCTCTCTTCAGAAACACAGAGTGGAAGAAAGAGGGAGACCCAGCAATAGCTTGAAAGGAAGTCTGCAGAGATCAGGACCTGGGCGGATGGGCTGTTGGTGAAGCATGGCGTTGTCCTGGACCCTTTCCAGAGTATCTAGAAAATTCTATCAGGACTCCCTGATCCCCCGGGCACACCTGCCGAGGAGGAAGTGACTCCCCCACAACATCCCCCGCCACCAAAAAAAAGCTGCTGTCCTCAACAAAATGAGCTCTTAGGACTCACACAGAAACGTGCATGTAGTAACTGAAAACCCACCATGGCGCAAACATTGAAAATCTGCCTGACCTAAGATTAAACTTTTAAAAATACTTGCATTTTATGTTTCAAAATATATAACCTTAACAGCCGGCCATACTTTTATCACCTAAACGTTTTCTAACTGAAGTTGAAGACGAAAAGGAATGTCCTATAGCTGTGGCTCTAGCATGTGTCTATCAAACAGAGGGTGCCTCAGGCCGGGCGAGCTTGTGCCCACACTGAGAGCCGACAGTGAGGTCAGACAGTGGGACCCAGGCCCACACAGTGCCTGCCACACACCCGGCTCTTCTCTGCAGAGGAGGAGGCGGGACCAAGGTCCTGTCCTAATTTAGCTCTCACTCTGCCTGGACTCTCACTAGCCCTGAGGGTTCGCTGGTGGTTGTTATTTTTAAGTCGGCGGCTCTCAAGGGGTTTTGTTTTGAGTTGAATTTACGTTTTACTTTTCACATCTGCTTGGAAGTGCGGAGACAGTCTAGGAAAACATCAAAAATCACAATTCCATTTACTGGGGCTCTTGGTAAAGGAAGGTCGCCGGCACTTACCCACCTGCAGGGAGAGAGCAGGTTTGTACAATCCTGGGGGAGGAGAGGCCTCCAAGGACCAACACTGAAAGGCAGGGTGGGGAACCCTGGTGAAGAGGGGTGAGTGGCAGGGCACTCTTGTCTCCTAGGCCCATCTGGGCCATGAGTTCATGCTGACTACCGGCTACCTGACTTTCTGGAAGGTGGCAGCTGCCTCCCCAGTCCGCCTCCCCTCCTCTCCTCCCCAATCTCCACCCTCCCACTTTCTGCACAGCTCTGGCCAGCCCAGCCCAAGTTTGGCTATGAAAACTGCAAGAACGCTCACTGGTAGGACACAGCCAGAGCCGGGGTGGGGGGAAACATGTTACTTAATTGTAATCACAACTTGTATGTGAAAGTGGAATATGACTCCAGACGAGAGAGCTCCTCCCCCTGGACGGATCCGCTGGCTGAGTAATCCCCAGTGGTCAGCGTGCCTGTCTTCTCACAGGCTTCTCTTTGAACTCAGAGAAAACTATTTAGAACGAGACTTGAAGAAATGTGTCGATTTAGTTGGAACTGATGTTTTCATGGAAAGCTTTACCTTAATATAGTAAAACTTCTATCAACAGGGCACAATTTAAAAACTGGCTCTTAAGAAATAGATCTGTAAGAGGGCACAGATGAAAATCCCATAATCACATGTTAATAGCCAAAGATGTGCTATAATTGCCTGCTAATTACCGTGGAAAAATTATAGGATTAATATTAACAATGTAACTCGTACATTCTGATGTATTATCATCACCTACAGGGAGAGGTTACTGAGAACACAAATGAAAGAGAGAGTTTGACTGAAGAGGCACAGGGTTGATTTCACAATTTAACTACAAAATTATATCATTAATGGCTACACTGCATGTGACCCTCAAGTAATGATGTTTATTTGTAAATGCGTGTGGAATCCGTCTGCGCACCTTACAATCCAGACCACCCATTCTGAAGATGCAAAAGCAGCCACCTCCATTCTTTCAGAACATCTACGTGGCAAAGCAGTAAAGTAACTCTTAATTGCGTTCATTAGAAGGAAAGTCCAGGTAAATGGGCCTCCATTTATCTGTTGTGGCTTCTGGCTTTCCTTCTATGAAGTTAATATTAATTATCGAACGTCTAATTTTCCTTCTCTGCTTGAAAGGGGACAAATAGAAAAATGTGCCTGCCCCTGAAAGTGGTTTGGGAATGATCCACTGTTCGAGTAGCCTTGATCGGTAGTCCAGTTCATTCCGTGACTTGTCTCATTTCAGATATTATTCCCAGTGGCTCACACTGTGCTAAACGAGGTCACTCCACTTGTCGTCATTCATCCAGTGGGTGCGCATGAGCATGTGTGTGTGTGTGTGTGTGTGTGTGTGTGTGTGTGTGTAGGATTATATAAGAGAAAAGTCTGAAGGCAGTCAGGAGGCGATAAAGAAGAGAGCTAAGATCTGAAGTCCTATGGGAGCTGAGGAATCATTCTGGTTTAAGAAAAGTAAACCTTGTAATAATATCAAAGTTGAAAAAATAGGTATGCCAGTCACACGCTTTCATTATTTGCCTTATTTGGACTTAGTCCACATTTCTATTTAATTGCTCCTCTCATTTTCTTGGGTAATAATTATAAGGCTAACTTTTCAAATAAAATAAAATTGTTCCTCTGCACCATGCAGATTGGCTACCAAGCAGGTTAAGGCAAGTATCTCCAAACCCTTGTCCTAGTCAGTCCATCTTGGAGGTTTGGTATATGACCTGGGGGAACAAGACTGTTCTTATCTCAGCTCTCGCACTAATTAATGGGGACATGTCACCTAGGATGGTAGGTCAACAGGCTCAGTTTCCTTGTTTATTAGATTAAGATGTGGGACTCGTTAATAGAAGCTGTATGTTTGTGGGTGTGCACACTTATGTGTGTGTGTATGTGTGCGAGTGTGTGTGTGTGTGTGTGTGTGTGTGTGTGTGGTGAGGTAAAGAGTGGCGTAGACGTTTTGCAGGATAAACCAGTAATTGGTTTTAATACACTCTACAATGAGTCTCTCACCCTAACCTAGTCACTAACCTCTCTGCCATTGACCGTAGGGCTCTAGCAAGGGGAAGGTAGAAGGTGTGCAAACATCCTTCTACTGTAATTGCTCAGGAATACTTTCTGGTACTCGACACGATGGGAACCTCCACTTTCTCTGCACTCACTGGGACTGCAGCCTCTTGGTCTGCAGAACGGAGTAATAAAGCCTACACATGAGAAATTACTTAGTGCTTGTGGAAACAGCCTGGAACAAGCTAAAATTACTTCCAGACACATATATTACTGCCTGTGTTTTTAAGTAATTTCTAGAAATGGTAAGATCCAATCCTGACTTCCCTGCTTTACTCTGGGTCTCAGAGGCTGATTCTGAAACTGCCTTTGTTGGGAAGCACTTGTGGGAGATCAGGAGGCAGGGAACGCCCGGGCACTCCTTCACCTCCCTGCTCTTGGCACTGAGAAGAGTCTCTGCGGAAACTCCCCTGGGGTTCTACCTCCTTTTGGAAAGCAGGTCCCTCTGTGGCCACGGCTCCTGTGAGGCAGCCCCCACCATAGTCCCAGCTCTTTCTGGGTGGCACCTCCAACACCCACCACCTCCTCCTTTTGATCCTCAACCCTGCAGGTAAGAGCAGCAGATTCCTGCAGCTGCTCATCTCTGGGTTGCCTCATGGTGCCTCCAGCCCTTCCAACCTTTGCAACAAATTCCCTCCACGGCTCCACTTGGCGCGGGCTCTGCTCCCCTGCCTGGACCCTGAGTCTCGTCGAGGGACCACAGGTCTCTGGGGAACAGACATTGTGCTTAGGACTATACAGACTCCAGAAAATGTACTGGGCACATTCAGTACTTCTTAATGCCAGGGAAGGTCTCTCGAAGGTTTCACTGCCTGACCACGCAGTACTATTAGCACGCGACGTGTGTTCGAGTGAAGCAACACTGGATGGAGAATTAAAGAACTGGAACTCACTCTCCAGACATGTACCTTAGAGCCAACCGAGCCTGGTCATTCACCTCACAGAGGGACCAGAGTTCCCATCACCTGCTTAGAAACGGACACGGTTCTTGCACATCTAAATATATTACTATTATTGAGGGGACACAGTTGACTTTCATAAATTGAAAGTGCTTTGCACGCAGCCCGATTTCTATTTTTCAGCCTGATTTGCACTAAATGGACCCACTAATGAAAAGTGCCTAGTCTGGTGCCTGGCACATGAGAGCTGTGTGAGTCCTGGCCGTGATTTCTGTCTGTGCCGGGGACCTCCTGTGCATCATGACAACTTGTCAGTTCACACAGACCCCGCAGGGAGGCCGAGGCCAACTCACCGATGTCCAGGACCCGCTGCTTCGCCGTGTGCTGCCGGGAGTGCCAGTACTTCCAGTACTTCAGCTGCTCGTCGCGGTTCTTGTCTTCACTGAAGACCACCATCACCACGCTCTGCGGAGGCGAGAATAACGGAACTCACTTTGTGTTCTGGGCCTCGGTTGCTCGCACGGTCTCCAGTCGGAAAGTCCTACCAGAGGTGCGTTTCTGAAATGCGGCTTTTCTTGCTTTACAAAAGCCCAGACGTGCTCAGTTACATGGTTTTGTTTTAAAATGAGCCAACTTAAAAAAATGATTGGAGCTCGGCCAGCGTGGCTCAGAGGTTGAGCATCAACCTATGAACCAGGAGGTCATGGTCTGATTTCCCTGCCAGGTGGCAGGCTCGATCCCCAGTATGGGACATGTAGGAGGCAGCCAATCAATGATTCTCTGTCATCACTGATGTTTCTATCTCTCTCTCCCTCTCCCTTCCTCTCTGAAATCA